GTCTCCCCCACCCCCACCCTTGGGTATGTGTATGTGTGTGAGTTTATGTGTGTGTGTGTGTGTGCGTGTGTGTGTGTGTGTGTGTGTGTGTGTGTGTGTGTGTGTGTGTCTGTCTCTCTCTCTCTCTCTGTCTATTCTGATCTTTTTATAACTCAGGAATGATTAGGTTTAGGACCCACTCTACACTGGCATGGCCTCATTAACATTAAAAAGAAAACCCCTGCTTCCAAACAGGGTCATGTTTACAGGTATAGGGTTAAAATTTCAACACATTTTTTGGGGAGGACACAATTCTATCCATAACAATCTGCAAATCTCAGTCAAGACTTCATTTGTGATCCTAGTCTGATGCCTTCAGGGCTTCGAACCAGTTCATTCCAGTTAAAACCCCTGCTGAGAATTTGCATTTCTAACAAGTTCCCAGGGAGTTATAGGTAAGAATTACCTGGGATCTTGTTAAAATGTAGATTCTTGAGGGGGAATATTCAAGAGGATGGCCTAGTCAAATGGTTAAAATGTAGATTTCTGGAGAGGAAGATTCAAGAGGGTGGCCTAGACAGACACACCATGCCATCCCTCTACAGCAAAGACCCAAGAAACAAAGTGAAACAGATGCAGATGACAACCCTGGAATCCTGAACATAAAATGAAAGGTTACAGAGTTAGATCAAACACCAATTAGGAAAAGAAACTGAAGACAGCAGCAAACTGGGAGAGATAGGGAGTAGAGGTGCCCTTGTAGCCGGTCCGGCACAGCGGGGCCATTTTGAGACAAAGCCAGCAGCAACCCTGAGCGAAGAGCACAGGAAGACAACATCACAGAACTCCCAATAGGAGACAGAGAAATTGTGTCGACATACCTGGAGTTACGGTGAGCAGGACATGAACTGGAACTAAGGAGGGAAAGTACAGGAAGAAGGATGAGAGCTTCAGGGACCCTGGTGTACACAGAGCAGGGAGGAAATCAGTACCCAGAGATGGGGTGACTCTCCTGCAGCAGTACCTGACCTGCAGGGTGGGTAGCAAGCATGGAGCAATAGATGAAACTCCCCTTTATTTATTTTTCTCTCTCCCCCACCAGCTGCCCACCCCACCCCTTCCAACCAGAGAGAGCACCTGCATGACCCCAGCTACCCACCAGAGACAGCCTGCACGACCCATGGCCACCCATCCTGCCTCTCCCCCAACCAGGAGAGAGTGACTGCGTGACCCCCAGCCACCTGATTCCCCACACACCCCACCACGGAGAGCATCTTATCGACCCCTGGCTGCATGCCCTACCCCTACTGCTACAGGGAGCACCTGTGTGACCCCCTGCACCTGTCCCACCCCACCCCTCACTGGAGGGAACACCTGTGTGACCCCTGGCCACCTGTCCCACCCCTCCTCTGCCAGAGACAGCACCTGTGTGACTCAGGCTGACTTCCTTGCCCCTTTGCCACCAAAGAGAACACCAGAGTGACCCCTGGCTGACTGCCCCACCCCTTTCCCACCAGGGAGAGCGCTTTCAGGCCCCCTGGCCTACCGCCCCACCCCCACTGATGGAGGGAGTGCCACTGTGCCACCCAAACGCCTACCTTGCTTCTTGCCTGTCAACCACCCACCTGGTCAGCGACTGTGAGCATTCCCATACCACCGGATAGTGCCTGCCCTGTATACCCTCAGCTGTCTCATATGTACAGTGAACAGCGACACAGGCTTGTCCTGCCTGTCATTGCACCTTCCAACTGTAAGGTGAACATTCCTGTGCTGCCAGACAAGTGATCACCAAAGCACATCCAACTCACCCACACTGATATATCAAAAACAAAACAAAACAAAAACCATAAATAAAACAACACCTTAATGCCTCAGAGACAGCAGACAACATTAAATCATATAAAGGAACAAGCCAAGATGGCTCAACCAAATGACCAAAAAAAAGGGGCAGAAAACCTTCCTGAAGAAGAGACAGTAATGGAACAGCCTAATAAGGAATCCAAAAGGCTTATATGTGGTAAGGAATTCAAAAGGCTTATATATAGGTCCTCAAAAGA